TGAGACTACTGACTTGGGAATGTGAGATATCACATTCTGAGCCCTGTGCATGCACCGAAGATAAATACACATGAGGCCATCCACGGCTGTTCCATGCAGGAAGCCTTGAACCAAGCTGAAACAATGACAGTTTAATGGCAACAGAAACTCCACGCTGAGCTGACTTCCCCAGTTCTCAGGCTCACTGAAGGCAGCTGACAAATGTCCATTAGCTTCTGCGGGCTTCCAGATTTTCCTTCTGCTCTGAGCACCGCATTTGCCGTGTTTTCAGCAGCGGTCTCACTGAACTCACAGATCATTGACTCACAGCTGAAGACGCGGCTTCGCTATTTTGTGCCCTTGGAGTCCAGTTCTAAATGGTAGGTCAGCTGCAATTCTACTTAAATGTGATAATCTGGTCAGAGCAGGCAGCCTCAGTTTTCACCCACTGAAGATAACGGGCCTTACCTCAAAATAAATAAGTTAAAAAATAACAAAACATTAATTTTGTTATATATGTACGGAAGATGTGATTGGAAGTGCTGCGAGTTAGAGATATAAATGTTATGCTTATAAGCAGACATCTAAAATTAGTGATGTTCCCGCCTATGGGGTTTCAGATATTATTTGAGTGCTATTTCAAGGCTAACTTTCTGCAAGCTAGTTTATTAAATATTAGGACAAACCCTAAGCAGCTTTTTTAATGCTTATATATTTCAACATCTCTAGGCCAGAGGATGAAAGCAACATCAGGCCCTTCACTTCTGGAAAGCGCTTGCAGAGCCTCACATGAAAGACCCTTTTTTTTCCAAACAAACTAACTTCAAGTCTTTGACTTTATGTAACTCTCCTTCATCAGAAAAAAAAAAAAATAATCATCCACTGATTTCAGAAGCAGCTTTAGTGAATGCAGGCTTCAGGATGTTATCTTTCAGCAGTATCTTTAAGACAGAGCCAGCTCCTGAGGGACAGCGAATACCTGTAACCGACTTCGACAAGTTCTGCAGGTTCTCAGCTCCTCCTAGGATTTAACCCATAAACAGCAGTACTAGGAATGGCTTTTTCTCTAGGATGGCCTGAGTCTTGCCTCGAGCGGGTGGATGTGTGAACTCTAACAACGCCGGTATTTTTCTTGAACATAAAAAACCCGCTTAAACAGGGTTCTGCATGCCTGAGTGCCCACAGACCTAGCTGCATTTCATGCCATAAAGAACCCTCCTCTGATTTTAGACAGGTACCAGAGGGGAAGAAGAGATGCCCTTTCCTTTTTCTCACTGCCCCACCTCAGACCCTTTCTCTTTTAATCTTCAAGGAGCAGCACATTGTGCTACGCTCCAAAACAAAACCAGAATTTCCGAAAGCCCCCAGCTCACGACACACTGCAGCCCATCTAGGACTTGCGCAAACGTTTGGTTCGAGGCCAGTGGATGTTCAGTACAAAAAGGCTCAGTGTCAAAAGCAGCAGCATGTGGAGGATTCGGCACGCAGCTCTCGTTAGTGCCAACAGCAGCCTGGCTACTAAGCCTTCACACCTCTTTAAAGATGTTTCCTCTGTCTTTAATAGACATTTGCACAAATCTACTCCGAAGCTGAGACCAAACAGGCAAAAGTTTTAGCTGGGGGAAAAAAAAAAACCTCTTAGCCATTAGAAAGCTGGCCCTTTTCCAGAACGGAGAGCATCTGGCCACCAGCTGTGTTTAGAGGACAGCAGGCATAAGGAATAGATCAGGGGAAAATCTGAGAAACAAGTAGACAGTGCTGAAATTTGTTGTGAAAAGTATACCAGCCTTCCCCTGTGATGTCCAAAACCTCTGCCCTCCTGCATTCTGCATCCTCTTCTCTTCCCAGCTCTCAAGCCTATTATTGGAAAATCGCCCATTCAGGAGAACGCAGATACCCTCTCTGGGCTTGGGAAGGGACTTGGCAGGGTTCTAGAGTAAAAAAAAACCAGTTAGTGTTGCAAATGGCAGCACGTGAGGCAAAGTGGAAATGTGAGGAAATTCTGGAAACTAAGGGAGGACCTTGCAGAGAGGCAGAAGGAAAGATCTGCTGTGAGGCAGGAGCAGGATGCCTGTAAGTCCTCAAATATTACAGCAGTGGATTAGAATAGAAAAAAGACAGATGGACAGGAACCGAAACAGGCCTTCACTCATTAGAGGCTGGAAAGTTATGATTTAAAAAAAAAAAAAAGGAAGAAAAAGAAAATCACAGGTTTTTCTAAGGATATTGTATTTTTTTCCATTTCACCTTAGTTTGGAGGCAGTATTTTCCCTCAAAATTTGTAAATTATTGCAACTCAGAGACTAAAGAAGCAGAAGGCTTTTTATTTTCTAAGATGATAACACCATCTCTCTAAAAAATGCTAATAAAACGCTCTGCTGGAAAGAGCCTTATCTGATAGGGATGGTATTCATGGGCACCCACTGAAACTCACACTGCTTTTTAGATTAAATTGACAACAGAGCCCTCCCCCCGCCCCAGATTAGTGGAACGAAGAATCCGTGCATGAAGCCCCATACAATAAAGCTTGGAGATTATGAAACAGGCTAGAAGACAGGATCACAATTGCAATTGGTCTTGATGAAGTGGGGAAATTGCCCCAACTAAAGCAGAACAAATTTAATAAAGACAAGTTAAAAGTGTTATACTTTGGAAGGTGTAGTAAACAAATGCACAGATAAAAATGGGAACTCCTGGGACAGCAGCCGTGAATCACCAAGGAATTATAACAGAAGAGAGACTAGATCAAAGTCAGCCATGGGATGTTCTGGTAGAAAATATTCCAGGATATATTTTCTGATATGCTGTACATTAACCTCAGGAGACAGTTACTCTGCTTTGCTACTTACTGTATAAAACCCCTGCTGGAGTTCTGCATTTTGGGGAAACTGGGAAGTCATGAGGGAAATGGTAGCAAAAAATCAGACACCTAGGAAATACTAGCAAAGGAACAAGGAAAGACTTATACCCATGAGGAAAGTAGGATAGCTCCTCTCATACACAGAATAATCTTGCAAGAACGTCTTGTAAGATCAGTTGTTCTTCCTGTCAGTCAGGGCTTGAAGGAGAAGTGGCTCAATTTGTAGTAAAAAAATTCCAAACAGTCTCTTAGGAAAACCTTCCAATTATGAGGATAGTGAAGATCATGGATCCCTGTCACTGGACGTTTCAAGAGCCCCCAAGCTGCACATTGTCTGGCATGGTCCAGCTAGACCTCACCCAGCCTCATGGCAGGAGAGGTGGACTAAAATAGCAGTTTTCGTACTCTGGTCTGTGTATCCACAAAGTGCTGGTGACTACTTCCAGGAGAAATGAATGCCAGGGTTACGCAGGGGCTGGCTCTTCTGCTAGCAAAAGTGATGGAGGTCACAGATCAAAAAAGAATTGAAAGTCATGTTTTTTTGTTTTTTTGTTTTTGTTTAAGGTTCCTTTCAGCTATATATTTATGACTTTGGGACCACCAGTATTTTGAAGGGCAAAAGTTATTCCCTTATAGGTCAATAGCCGCAATCCCTTCCCGTAACAGCTTTGAGCGACAGGCTCTTGGGGCGTGTTCTCTCCTACCATTTGCTGGACACCAGCAAAGCAGATCTCATGGCAGCAGTGGTTGCCACGCTTTCTGTCATGCTCAGCCATCGAGATTCACCAGCCCGCGGAGGAGCAGCGGGACACACGAACGCGTGGGCCACCGCGGCTCCGCTGGCACACACACGCACAGTGCGTGTTTGGAGGCAGCTGCACGCGGGCGTTGTGTCTGTCTTTGAGTGCCCAAACACAGTGACCACTCTGTCCACTTGCAGCCACCAAAGGACATGTGAAGCCCTTTATCTCTGAAAAAAACCCAGTAAACCTTACCACAGACACTCTCAACTCATCAGAATACCAGCTAACACAGAGCTATCAGTGTTTCCTTCCTAAAGAGTCCCAGGCAGGTTCCTACAAATGCTCAAAGGACATCACCTTCCAAGGGCAGCCTGTGCACACAGGACTCTACATCCCCTTACCACAGCACAGTTAATATTTGAGCTAGAAAGAGGGGCACAACGCTTGTGGCTCCCACTATAGCATCAGGCACCGGGCTGCCTATCCACAGGTACACCTGTGGGCCCGTTTCCCAGGGAAAGCTGTTCTGCCTATGGATATATGCATATGCAACTCCTGATGGCTTCATTGGGCACTACGCATGTTCCAAAGGGAAGAATTTTAATATCATGATTATTGTCTGAAAAGCTTTGCTATTTTAAACCATGAAGCTGCGGGGTGAGGTCTGCTCCTGTCTAGTTATCGTTGGCATGGAAGGATGGGTTTCCACAGACGAGAAGGCACACCAACCAGCGAGCACCCCTGCGTGTTGCTGTTGCATCAGCCATGGTCTCACTTCTCTAAGATGGCAACACTCACACAGAAGTTGCCACTACCTAAATGCTCCAGACAACATCTTCTGTGAACATCTACTATGCAGAAAAAAAGAAGTCTGACTGACCTGCTGTGTCTCTGCAACATTAGTGGCAGTTTAGACATTTCTGTAATTTGTTGCAGAAACAGTAGAGGCTTTAAAAGACCAAGCACACAGGAGGATTTACACCTCAGAGTCATAAAACGGCTTCCTACCGTGTTGATAACGAAAGCCAAAACTGTGTTCTCTGAGCATGCCAAAAGCTATCACCACGGAAGAGCACCCAACGTAGATACTTCAACAAAAGAACACGAGGGTAACATGCACTGTCAAAATAAAACTTCTAAAGTCTGTGAACTGGGCTCAGTTTCTGAACGGCATGCTAGAAAATAAACATATTAATGTCACTTTGCCATGGAGAAGGCAACATCTTTGCCTGCTTCTTGCTGTGGTTTTCAGAGACAGCACATCAGGAATGTTGTGGCACGTAGCAAATCTCTCTTGCTAATAATACGCTGCAAAATAAATGAAGCTTTGACATTAAATCACATCCCCCCATCCCACCCCACCCAAACCCTGCATTTTCGATAACCTATACATTCTCAGGATACAGTGAGAAATCATTCTATAATACATATTTAATTATAATTTAAAAAAGTCTAACTTGGACACAATCTCTGGCCAGTAGCAAAGTATCGACACATTACTGCAGTGAGGATCTGTTATTATCCCTTCACTGTAACGAACAGAAATCAGCATCTCGAGAAGGGTCTCCAGGGGTATCATATCACAACCAATCACACCAAATAAAAAAAATATGCTCATTTCACAAATGAAATTTGACAAGAAGTAGCATCGCATTTGTCTTGGTGAAACGAAGCACGAACGTAACATTTCACAGGTACAGTTACCATGCAAGTGCATGTTGAGTTTCTCATTGTTTTTAACCCCAAATCACAAGTAGCATGCAGTTCTCCTGCCCCCCCAACTACTGTATTAGAGATAGCCTGGCTAATGTACCTCTTTGGTGTAACCATAGCCTGTTAGGCAAGATTATACCACCTTAGGAAAGAATACAAGCAAAACTTGATCATATGTATGTTTACACAATGTACATTTTACCATTTAAAAAAACCAAAACTTGTTACATAGATTCTCAAACACAGCTCTGTTGAAAATGAAATTTTAAGCTTAAGAAATAGTTTTTAAACTACAAGGCCACCCCATTATTTTTTATGAACAATTTAAAAAGTTCCCACCCCTAAAAATCTGCCAGTATATTTCCTCAGCTGTAACAGTCTTACCCACTCTCTAATACAGCTGGATCTTTGCTCAACAGCAGTAACAGTTCTTACATTTCTTATATGCAGAGATAATGGATTCCGGGATAGATACAGTTCTTAAATGTGTCACACTGGAACAAATCCGCCTTAAAAGATGAATCGGTCAGTTCGGGTGTTCCCCGGCACCACCGCTCAGGCAGGGGCTTCTGCTGTTCACGGCTGTGAGTTCTGGCTTTTGTTGGCATCAAGCTCCATGACTGCACATTCAGAATTTGAGTACAACAGCGATTCACTGGATACTCTTGTACCCTGTTTGCTCAGAAACACGGAGGAGCTTTGTCTTCTGTATTGCCTCATCCAAACGGGGCCACGGCCCCAGCGCAGCACCTTTGGCCCACACAGAACTATTTGGATGCAAAGTAGAATTTTTTTATATTTAGTTTTTTGTAGTCGTTTAAGCAACTGCAACGGGTTTAAGCAACTGCGACAGCAGACTTAACTTGCAGGGTCTTTATGAGAGGGTTACCGCCTTCTTCAGCTTTACACAATGGAGCCCTTTGAAGAAGACAAATGAATTGACTGAATCCTTGTGGCCAACGTCCTCTGTAAGTCCTGTAGTACATTTTGACCAGACGTTTCTCCATTCTTGTCATACAACAGCTGTTTGAAAGCTTCGTTTTCAATGAGGACCATCATATTTTTTAGAAAGTAGCCTTCACAATAGGAAGATAGTTCTGTGACTCCGAGAAACTACAAGAAGTGAAATTAGAGAAAGATAACCATTCTGATAAAACCCACTCCGCAAATACAGTGCGTAAGAGCTGCACACAAACAAATGTACAAACTAAGCCTTTTGGACAGGCACAGTGATGTCTATGGATATATATGTGGGAGGGGAAGGAGTTCATCCAACAGTATTTTACACTGATAATCCTGCCCACAATTCCATGTTATAAGACAATGGCCATTAAGGAAACAAACTTCAGGGCTGAAGCTTTGCTCCCTTGGAAATTAGTGGGAGTTTTACCACAGGGTTCACCAGAGCCATGATTTCATGCTAGAAGTTACACCCTGTAACTATATAGGTTTGGGACAACTTACTACAGACCAAGTTTAATGAATGCCATCCTTAGCAAGGATGGGACACATGACCTGTCACGCAAAGTTTCATGCTTCAAGGAATCTTTGGAGGAGAAATGGAGGGTTGCAGAGTATAGGCAGGGATACTGTCATGCGTAAGGAAACCTTAACTATGTGAGCAAAAATGTGTGAACAAACCTTAAACGACCCATACTGATCATCTGATGGGTGATCTGTACTGGTCATCACCCACTGGCTAGATCCTGTGGTCATACAAGGAGTATCGCCGTGATATTCCACTACAGGTGTAATTATAAGCCATGCAAGTGTAGAGAGCAGTGCTCAGCCCGTCCTCCTGCCCAAGTAAGCTCCTGCTGGGTCCGAGCTCTGAGCAAAGCGGGAACCTTTGGCTGCCAGGTGCAGCCTGAAGGGCCAGAACTTCTGGGGCACTGCATAGCTTTGGGTGCAGGCTGGAACAACTACACAGCAGCGTTGCCCACCACCACCTTACCACATTCAGAACTAAGAATGGAAATGGCTAAAAAATAAAAAAGAGGAAGAAAAAACAAATACAGACTACGGCTAGGTAGGTCCTGTCTTCCTGGGGAAAATGAATTAATTTAACTTTCTCTCGAACCATGAAAATTTTCATCAAATTATGAGTGCATTATTTTTCACCTGGATGTGACAGCATATGTGTTATTCTGTATTTTTCTCTGAAACACCATTCATCCCTATTCGTTACTTCAATGTATTTACGAGACTGAGGGAATAATGTACTTTTCTTTTTCAGATTTATTCTGAGGCCCAGATTGCAATCTGTGCAAGTGCTGAGTGTTTTAGGCATGTATTTAAAATTCCACATTATTTTGTTGGGAGTTTGGGGGCATTCATGTAAAACACAACTGGTATCTAGTGGTAACTGATCAATCACCATTATAAATTCAATTTGTCCAGTTACTTAATTTCCTTCTGGACGTAAAGAACAGTGACAAAGGCTTTGAAAAAGGAAGCCCTTAAAGTAACACTAATCAAATGACTGCCTTTGGCCCAATGCTGTTTAATGACTTTTATAAGTGATCTGGATGATGGGATCAAGTGTACCCTGATGAAGTTTGCTGATGATACCAAACTGAGTGGGGAAGTGGACACTTTGGGAGAAGCCACCTTCCTGCCAGGAAGACCTGGATAGGCTGGAAGAGTGGGCTAACAAGAACTTTATGAAAGTTCAACAAGGATAAGTGTAAGGTCTTGCACCTAGGAAAACATGATCCAGGAGTGCAGCACAGGCTGGGATCTACCTGTGGAAAGGGACCTGGGGGTCCTAGTGGGCAACAAGCTCAATATGAATGAACAGTGGGATGCTGTGGCAAACAAAGCCAACAGGGTGCTGGGTTGCATCAACAAGGGCATCACCAGCAGAGATAAAGAAGTCATTATCCCACTCTACTCAGTGCTTGTCAGGCCACACCTGGAACACTGTTCAGTTTTGGTCCCTGCTATGCAAAAAAGAAGTGAGCAAGGTGGAGAGGGTCCAGAGAAGGGCCATAAACATGATCAAAGGACTGGGACGCCTGCCATGTGAGGAAAGGCTGAGAGAACTGAGTTTGTTCAGCCTTGAGAAAAGAAGGCTTAGGGGAGACCTTTTCGCCATGTTCCAGTATTTAAAGGGTGGCTACAAAGAAGACGGAGACTCCCTTTTTACTAGGAGTCACATGGAAAAGACAAGGGGTAATGAGTACAAGTTACTCCTGGGGAGATTCCAATTAGACACAAGAGGAAAATTCTTCACAGTGAGAACAACCAGCCATTGGAATAATCTCCCCAGGGAAGTGGTGGATTCCTCAACATTGGACACTTTTTAAGATTCAGCTGGACAGGGTGCTGGGCCATCTTGTCTAGACTGTGCTTTTGCCAAGAAAACTTGGGCCAGATGATCCTTGAGAGCCCTTCCAGCCTGGTATTCTACAATTCTATGTTGCAATTTTAAGAACCCATAGGGATGCTACAGATGATTTTAATACTCTCAATTCAGCTTTTAAATTGAAAATGTCACCAAATCCACATTGCCTCATGTTCCTACCAGTACTTCACCTCTTCAACTCAGGGTGTCAATCTCTTGTTTCTACAGCTCCTTTTACACAGTTCACCCCCCTGCTAAACTCTGTTCTACAACCTAGAACCCTACCACAGATAGCTTTTCAAATCTGTGCTCACTTCATGCTATTCTTCCACCAAATCATGTCTATCTCTCAGTCATGAAGACAAAGACTGTGCTCCATGTGTCTCTGAGCCAGCCTGCTCGCACATCCCCATCTAGAACGGCAGGTCTCAGCGTCGTCTGAGTTCCTGCAGGTGCAGGTGAGCTTGCACAGTAGCAAGGACTAGAAATGGTGCCTGCAACAGGAGCAAGCTACTCAAAACCTCCTGGCTGACGCAGTGGTTCCTGGCTTCAGTGCCTGCTCACCTTATTGCTATCCTCACTGCGGTCTAACACGAGCTTCTTCCACACTTCAGAGGGCAACATGGAAAGGCAGACGGTTGGCAGGCAAGCTGCACTCGAGCTGCCCGTGAACACCCCTGGCTCATCAGGACCATCTGGCCTCTTCCGCCACGTACCATTATCTCATATTCACATCACAAACAAACGAAGCGCCCGTGTGACAGGAGCGCTCTGGGCAGAACGGTCCGTGCTCAGGTTAATCACCTGCACATCACACAGACCAGGAGCAGCTGCTCTGCAGTCAGCGTAATAGAGAGGTAGCTGAACTAGCTTTGAATGTGCTAGTTCAGGTCCTGGAAACCTTCTAGCCATAGCAGTATGAAACTTAGCCCTGGTAATTTACTGGAAGCAGGGTAAATTACCCCATGCAGAGCTCGAGGGTGATGTGGCCTAACTGATTCCAGAAGCCACGATTTCATTCACAGCTGGCTTGGCTGTCTCTGCGGTGCACTACCCACATCAGCGCAAACACGACCCTGGGCGTAACAGCCTCTCAAGTACACCGTTCCCACTGACTCCACTGGGAGATGCAGGCACAAGAAACTTGCAGGCTGGGCCCCTGCAGGCAAACCAGGAGCTGGATTTAGCCGCTGGGTTTGTTCAGTCCCAGCACTGGCAGTGTACAAGTTCTTCAGACAGGTCTGAAGCTCCATGTAAGAACTTTCTTCAGTCAGGATGTAAATAACAGCCACATTTCACAATTCAAGGAAAACATGTGATTTTAAAACAAAATTATTTACATCTTACTTTTAGTAACAGTAATAAAAATTCAGAAGTTCCCACATAAACTCGAAGATAAATCAAGCATTTTTCAAAAGATTCCTGCACTGCTAATTTTTTTTCCTATTACAATACATGGACCTGCAGATACACCTAATTTCTTATTCACTTTATAGGTGGAACTTTCTGCTATTTCAAACACTGACTGAGCATTATCTGTACATCAAGACCTAACGTTAATACTCTCTGTAGGAAATATCTGATGATGGGAATGGAGGTCAGATCTACAGGGGTCTGGAGCAATCTGCAGGATTACTCTGTTCAATTAAACCTCCCTGACACGCTGCACCATTTTATCTTTTGTGTAGACCATGCAAGTTATAGAAAAAACTCATCTAAGGAATGCTTTAACAATATTTCATTGCAACTATTTGTGTATCATTTCCATCTTCCAACTGACAGTCTAACTACTGAGCACAGAAGAGGAGGAGGAAAACTGAAACTAATCAATGTGGCAACCACTGCCATCAATGAGCACAAATAGGTTTTCTAGGTCAAAAAAATGCCATGCTTTTATGCCTAATGACTTAGGTCCCCTCACAAGCTAAGTAAATAATTTGATTCCAGTGAGAAGCTACAAATCTCTCCTCTCCAAGACATGAAATTCTCATTACGATCCTTGCAGGGCTCGGAGCCGTTGCACTTTGACAACATGGCATTTTTATACATTGACAAGCTGTCACTGGCAGTGAGTGTATCACCCCAGTGGGCTTCAGGCAGGGAGAAACGGGAAACTGAAAGGGAAAATGTAGCCTGGAAGGTGAAAGACAGGTGTCGTACTCAGTTATGTGATTCCTGTTGAATACCTCAGCAGTTTGGGTTGCCAGGAGAAGGGATAGGTCTGCCACACCGTGGGGTACACTCAAACTGAGTCTGAAGCACTTAGAGCAGGGGGTGAGCAGTTGTCGCAGATGCTCTTACACTACATGATTTCAGACTGTCACTATACGAGGTACCTATTAGCCACTCATCCCAGTAAATAACAGATCTTAAATAAGTAACAAGCTATCACTACTTATCATAAAACTGACCTACGAGCGTGACGACAGACAAATAACATGCAAGCATATGTGGTTATTTTTACCTTGGCGTGATTATAAATATCCACGCAGTTTTCTGTATTAATGCTTTTTGCGCAAATGATCTCACAGTGTCGTTGTAAAGCTTCAAGCTGGAAAAATTTAGCAGCAGAGAGAAGCTAAAAAAAAAGGCAAGGAAAAAAATAGTCAAAACTGCTGAGCAATACAGAATCAGAGCTTGCTTCTTTACTGTTTCATTATATTTTTTTCTCTGTCCCTGCTTCAGTTAGCATGAAAGTACTTTCAAACGGTCAGAATGAGAAGGTTGCTTGGTTGCTTCAACCCTTTGCAGTCCCCTGTAGATCAGACTGTGGGAAGATCTACACGGAGAGACCACCCCAGGCTGCTCAGGTCCACACGCTGACTTCAGGATGGGGTGGGGGTGGGAGTGGTGAGAGAGAGAAAAAGGAAATGGCAGCTTGGAGAGTCTTTGGTCACTTTGCAAACATGACTCTGCAAGGACGGATCTGCAATTACATTCCAGGAAAAAAGGGTTCTGGGTCAACCGCTCCCCAGGCTCTGGCTGAAACAGAGCACCTGGGCTGGCTGTGGGGATGTCAGCAAAAGGGCCAGGACCAAGAGCATAGAGGAATTCAAACCAGATGACGATAACCACCCCAGGCAGTCTTAAAAATCTAGAGAGGCAATAAACCTCAAATCTGTCACCTCCGCAGGCTCGAGGAAATGGAGTCAGATCTCCACATGCTCCTTGCTCTAGCTCGTGAGCAGCGCAAGGTCATCTCTAGGCCGTGGGCACCGAAACAGTCTGGCTCCACGTTACTCCAAGGAGTGGGTGCACAGCGGGAGACAACACAAAGGTGGGAACCAGCTTGGTGCAAGGCAGTGCCTCATTAACACTCATGTTAGTGTTGTGTGTCTGTGTCAGCGCACTACCACGGCTCTCCCGCTATCGGGACCCAAGGTGACCTCCCTCTCTGGCCCTGCATCCACCCTGTGGATACGCCACACGGACTGGCACCGCCTTGGGATCTCTGCACACCCCTGTACACTGTGGGAATGACCTGAAGCCTGTGGGGTGAAAATGGCTTAAATTTTGAGTTCTCCAACTGATCTCAGTAGGGCTGAGATTTCCCCTATTGCTCTCTTTCTGTCCTTTTACAGCAGGGATATTAATTTTGTGTCTTTCCATGGTAGGTCACTCTGGCTCTCTGCTGTGGCTTAGGAAGCAGGTTGGGGTTCTTCATTGCTTGACACCTTGCTCTAACCCAGCCAGCTGTCTTAGGCTGTTCAGGTGTTTAATCACTTCTATGGCCCTTATTATCTAGGACTATATGACAAAAAGCTATCCTGCAAATCCCAAAAGGGCTCTCATGCCGCTAGGCAGGAGCACTGGGGAACAAAACCCTGAAACTTCCATGACATTATTCTGACTTCTCCTATGCAGTCCGCTCAAGCTCCACTTTAATCCCATAAATAAATCCAAGTGCTGGAAATCTGCAGCGCTGATGTGATAGCAGCCAGCTGGCCCCAATTATGAATTGCAGCAAAGATTTCTGTGGAGTATTTCTGGTGCTTCTTGTTATCATATTTGTAATAAGGCAAGTTGCTAAATGCAGTTCTGAAAGATAAAGCCAAATCCTATTCCAGCTGCCTCTGTGGCTCAAGCAGTCATGTGCTGGTTTGTAATTACTTTAAACTGTGAGGAACCGTGGCCAGATCTGTTATCAACAGATCAATCAATCAGTCATACATTCTTGAGTCGCAGAAGTTTTGAGATGTCACAAAAGTAGAACAAGCAGCCAGCTGAGCTGCAGCACAAGCTTTTTGACAGCCTAGGTGACAACGCACGCAGCTCTATAAAGCCACTGCGCTGCCTAGTCTAAGACTCCTTACTTCAGAAAGGGTTAGAAATTTGGGAGCTTCTTTCAGAACTACCAGAGAAATAGAGAATCAGTGACCCTTCCCTGTAAAGCTCAGAAAGTCAGTGGTGGGTAAGCTTAGTTAAAAATCCACTGGCTGCATTGGAGACTGATAATTTCAGCCCTTGCCAGTTCCTTCCTCTGGCTGCCAGCAGGGTTGGTACACAGGTCCCTGCACCCATCAGAACTGATTCACCCTGGCCACTCATACCCCAAAGAAGAGTCACTCCCAGTTTCTGGTTAGCAGTGCTTTGCTAAAAGCCAAGCCTCACATGGATGCCCCAGACCTTAGTGTCACAGGGATAGACTAACTAATGTAGGCAACAATAAAACATCGTGGTGGCAGACTACAACCTGTACACTGATGATTACCAGCTGTTTAAGCACCTCTGATTTTAGTATTTACTATCCTGTATTCTTTTTGGCTGCCATAATTTGGTGATTGTCAACAGGAAAACTCCCCGAATCACTATCAAGAATTTGCTCAAATATCTGTTAGTTCTGTTTAGTTGGAGTCGTTAAACTGATCACAGCTGGCAACGACAGCACGCAGTACTGGGAAGACGATGACCGAGCATCCATACAGGCTTTAGATGTGTGGCTACACCGAAGGCTCAGTCAGCACCGGTTGGCTTGGTTTGGCTTTCCCAAATGGGCACGATGGCACTGGAAGTTTTACGTGAAGTGAGAAAGGGGCAAAGAAGTGTCTGTATCTCAGGGAGCAGCTTAAGGTTTTATTCAGAAAATTTGACAGTCACACACTTGAAATTGAACTGAACTGTGACTCCGGTGGGATTTCTCCCATGGTTAAAGCCATGCCCAAGAATTTTCCTGAGTGAGGAACTGAACTGGATGCTTTTAGGCTGCTGAGATAGGTCTGGACCTGTACGCCCGAACTAATAAGCCAGAAGTAAGAGCGTGGCAGAGAGAAGCTGACCAGCCCAGCTGGAGCAGAGCACCTCACCTATCAGGCTGAGAGAGAGAAAGGATGGAATAATACGCTGCCGGGAGCTGTTTCCAGATTTTGGTAACACCAGCTTTGCATTTCCTTAAAAGAGCCTCTCAAAGCACCTAACTAGATATTTTTATTTCTGATACTTTTTTTTTGCCTGATGATCGTAATTTTTCTGCTCTTTCTTCTCTGACAGTCAACTTCATATTGGCAAAAGCTACCATAAAGGGCAACTGGCAGAGCAGGAGACCGAGTGTCTCCCGCAGGACTGCGGACAGCCTGGGCGCTGCTGGCTCTTACAGGGGGGCTCATGTCTTGCCTAATGGCCATGCACCCCTGGGGTGAACGATACACAGATCACTCAGCATTGCTCCCACTGCAATTATGATAAATGTCTCTTACCTCCATAATTTCATTATTTTTAATCAGGAGTGACTCTGCACCGCCATAGTAAAGATACTGCATAACCAGCTGTCATAAAACAAAAGGAATGTTTATAAAAAGCAATCCAAGACATCAGGGAACAGCAGGCGATGTAAACAGGCAATACCCGATGCTCTCCAACACCACCGAGGATTTCTAGACAAAACTAGTCCAAACCTCCTGATTTCAAGATATATTTGGTTACTCTCTCTCTCTGCACAGTTCAATGTTTCCTTCTCACAGGTAGTCTAACCTCTCAACCCTCACCGGCCACATCGTCTGGACTTTCTGCTGAGCGCCAAACAGTTTGCAGGACGCTGATTAATTCCTTCTGAATTTTCAATGTATTTCCCAGTATGTTCAGTACATTAATGATTTAGGAAAATATAGCATATACGATGCTTATTCCCTTAGTCCTTCCCTGGCAATGGCACCCCCACCTTCACCCAGCTCTGTGTGGGCACGCATTGAAGATGAGAAAGGGCAGGGGAGGCTTTGCACTGTAATACGAGCCAGCTAAGATCCCTCTGCAGCGAGCTTCCAGCAAGCCTGAAGTTATTGTAGGCAGCTGGGAATTGTCTGCAGAGATAACAGTCAATATCGGGAACTGTCCGAGCTCTGACTCAAATGAGGGGAAGCGTATATAGCCTATATATGCTACAGATACAGAAAGCAAGCTCTGTATTTTCATGGCAAAAAATTGATTGTACAATACTGCTGAGGAAGGGAATGAACTGCGTCTCTTCCAAGCCTGTCCATTACATACAGAAAGAGCCAACCAGAGAAAAAAGAACCACGTGCTTTACCTTGGCACGCACTGCTTTGTCTGCGCAGCCCGCGGAAGTGAGAGGCGTGCTGCCGTACCTGGTCGGGCACGCCGTTTGCAATCAGTAGCACTCTGCAGCTTAGTGTATGAACGGAGATGAAGCCTGTGCTCATGAAACCACTACTCTGAGCTACGTGTTTATCAAATACATACGTACTAATTTGGACCGGGCATGTATGACATTCCTATTACATGTTCCATTCAAATTCAGTGTGAGAACTGACTTTACCTGAAAGATGGGGTACTTCACATAGTTGATCTCAATACAAGTACTATCAGATGAGGGCTTGCTAGACAGCAATGCTTTAAACCTAAATAAAAAGGAGGAAGACTGAAATACCAGCCCAGTTATCTCCGTGAAAAAGTACAGCGAAGTGGAAGGACAGCATCAGCTCTTGCAAAAACAGTACACTGAAGTGAGTGGATTTGTCAGCAAAAAGCATCAAGATTTAGAGACTGACATAAAACAAAGCTCAAACCAAAAGGAAGAAGCCTCTCTTTTAGGAGATTTCAATTTGAAATTTTGGAAAATACATCTAATATCACAATAGAATAAAACGTACATAGGAAAATCAGATACTGTAATGATGCATATTACAAAACCAAAATAATTCCTTTTTTTCTTTTTTTCTTGGAGGCAACGTGATCTTTTAGGAAGACTGGCAACATTTAAAAATGACACACCTTCTTTTTTGAAGAAGATAAATTTTGGCCTATGTCCCTTTTGCTGCTTTAAAAAACTGTGTTGGAACAAAATATTAAAACAGCTACACTAAGACTTTCAATACTTCTATGCAGGCTTAATACAATTGTGTAAGAAGAGGCAGAAGAGAAAACTGGACAGGTTGCTGTTCTCTGATTATCAAAACCTGAAATTCAGACACAAGTTTCAGGAAAAAACCCACATTTTAAGTTAATAATTGCAGATTTATGACAGACATATACATATGGGTAGCAATCTGTTTCTCAAAACCAGGTACTCCCACTTGATCAGAAGGTGAAAATGGGAACTGCTTTGTCAGAAACATCTGCCCTTGTACTTCCTCTTTCTGATAATGCATCTGACCTTCTAGCGGTAGCGCAAAGCTTGGCTTATCTATCAAGACCAGCATTTGCTGGATAGCAACCTTTTCCATATCACGACCACATCTTGTTAATTAAAATATAAATAACAATTGATTTGCTTTTACTAGTGTCAAACTCTATTATGAACACAATTTAGTAGGTTTAAAGGTGGAGTTTGGAACGTGTTTGTACCTCTACCAACACGCTCTACACCAAAATACCCATTTCTTAATTGAAGGCAGGGTCAGATACTGCAGTTGCTTTATGCAAGTCTCTTTATGCTGTGCTGTGGGTTGGCAGCACGTCTAGCATCAATTCCCACATTGCTCAAACGACCCAAACGCAGTGGCGGGTCCTTGCCACATCTTGAAATAAGCTCTTATGGAAGGCCAGCTAAATTTGTTTAAAAACACACCTTTAATTATAAAGCTGCATACAAATAAGGTTTGTGAGCAACTTTCAGGCTGGGTTGAGCTGGGTAACCCATGTCCAGCCTTGTGAGCACAGGGAACAGGCTAGGAATACAGCCTTTAGATACAGTATGATAAGTTTCGTAGTTATTTATTTTTAAAATGTAAAATGCTGTCAATAAATTGCGTGATAGTAGCTTGTTTTTCCTGGAGACTGCTTAGTCTGCAGGATCTAGCCACTCACACAACAAAGGATTACTGAGAACCAAAATATTAAGATTTCTATATGATTGAGAGCTGGATGCAGCAAAGAGCTCCATGCAAACGTCCCTCAGTGGAATGAAGTCAAATGCATGGCCAGAAGCATGGAGCGTTTACTGGGTGGGAATCTAGTGATGGGAGCAGATCGACCAGAAACAAGCTGTTGAGATCTTCTGCTTAGGAAAAACTTGAAGATTGAGCCATTAGCCTTCAAAGAATCTTAGCAGCAGCAACAAAAGCAAACCCACAAAATTAAATCCTATTTTCGTTAAAAATCAGAAATGTCTCTATATTTTACCTGGGTGAGGCAGTAAATAGCAACACTCTATGTGCATAAAATGGTCTTCCTTCCACCAGAAATGTAACATCTGACATCTCTTTGTTGTTAAGAAAATGGGGATCTAGAATCACAAAAAGAAAAAAAAAAAGCCAATAACTTTAGTTGGGAAGAGGTCATGAACATACAGAATATTTTCCTGTTTTGACAAAGGAAGACAATAGCGTGAAAGGATATTGTTTTTAATGAGTAAAGCCCACAAAGCTATTTTGGACAGCCTGAGACAGAAGCCCCCCAGACAGCCAGGCGGAGTTCAGACGAAGGGAATTCAAAGCTTTGAAGCCCGTGACGACCTTTACTGAGATGCCAGCCAGCCGTCCCAGCTCCGCTACCCAAGGCAAACTGCGGCTGAACGGATGCTGGAGGGCCCTACGCTCATTTCTACCCGATTACGCCCCTCTCCCTGTGCAGGGAAGTCTTCGTGCCAAGGGGAAGAAGGTCCTGGAAAACCGCTCGGGTCTTCTCTCGGTCGCATTACAACAACCGGGGCTCTGCCAGCAGGGCTGGGAGGGCTGTGCCGCCCGGCAGCGCCCGCAGCCAGCCACGGCGGTTGGAGATGCGCACAGACCTTTGGCTCCGGGCCCCGGGCTCGGATCCAAGCCTAAAGAGCAAAACAGACAAATCTTTGCAGATTTACAGTCCCACTCTAACGCACCTGATGACCCTCCCGATTTCAGCGGGAGTTTCAGGGCAGGCTAAGTTTGGGGCCCTTCCTTTTTCTAGTTCTGCCTTTGAAATTCAGTATTTTCTCCAACTCGTGCCCCCCGAGCACCCGGCCGGCGATGCAGACTCCCCACAGCTCTCCTTGGAGAGCCAACGAGTAGCTTCAAGTCACGCTTACCTAGGCGAGAGGTCTGCTTGCGCTTAATTTCAACGAGCTTTGGAATAGGGTAGGGTCCATAGCAATGCGTGAAAATGACAGAGAGCTGCTGGCTGATGACTTCGTTCTAAGCAAAAGAAAACAAATACCTGCAATGTAAGCTTTGTAGGCAAGGTAAGAGCAGTATGCAAAGGAGATGTTACACTGTTCCCCAGAGCTGCCTGTTTTGAAGCTGAAGAATGTGATTGCTGAAGCTTTATTAAAAATCAGAGCTTAGGATTATCTTTATTTGATAGAAACTGCAATTCTCATTTACTTGATTGCTACATCTCCTGTTCAATCAAAACAGAAAGTCCTCTCCTTGGACCAGAGGTTGTCTCTTCCCAACAAACTCCATAGTCCCCGTCCCCTCCATAGCAACAAAGCTCCTTTACGACAGTGATTTCATTTCATTTGCAGACTTACTGTACTGGAAAATGACTTTTTGTCACTCTTCAGAAAATGGTCGTCAGTCACGTTTTAGAAAACCAGAGCTACAGACGGATAGAGCTGCACAGCCTGCATGCATTTCAGAGTGCAACAGTCTCACCGACAGACCCTCCCTTACAGCATGGCTGAATCTCCTCATTCAGTCCCGAATGTTTCACTGATGTGCTCTTCCACCGCTGGCACTGGCCTGGGCACCACTGTCCTCAGGAAGCCACCAGACCTTCGCAGAACCAAGTCTGCTCCCTGGCCTTCCCCGTTTCTGCCCAGACTTCAGGGGCAAGGCACCCGCAGGACGCTTTCCTAAGCAACATGAGTATTCGTACGTCTAAGCTCAGCTGCCAGGACAGTGAAATGGATTTAGTGCTTAACTACCTAAGTCACAGGCGAGAGCAGGATTTAAAAGCTTTGGCAAATTTTATCCCACGCTTTGCTGATAACCGGAGCAGGTCTAGCCAAGTTCAGTGGTGCCACACGGCTAATTCCTGACCATGTTTTTTAACTACCCTGTCGGTCGGCAATTCCTTCCGCACCAGGAAACTGTGAAAAGGCGAGGCACTTAGACGAGAGGGTCCAAGACCAAGGAAATAATCAGCTGAGAGCCAAAAAAAAATCTTAATATGAAAATCTGAGGAGTGTAGATGTTATACTAAAAATAGCTCCTGTCTTATAGAGTAGAAATCAAAGCTTTCCTTTCTCTGAGCTCAGTTCTAACAGCGGTGCTCCTTAAATCCCACGAGGGACGAGGAGGAGTGGCAGAGATCCTGTGATGACTCCCTCACTGCATCTAATCAAATGGGGTGGGAAAGGCTAGAGCTGTGCCCTCACAGGCACACGCTGATGTCAAAGGAAATCACACGCGCTCACCCACAGGCAGGAACTGGCTCCTGTGACTACGTCAGACGTAGCACTGAAAGAAAAGCCAAGAGAAGAGAAATACTGATACTAAGAGACACTGTTTAGCACGGCGCAGGGACCAGCCCTCGGAGCCGGGCTCACCGCTGTGGCTCTGAGACAAGGGGGATGTCTCACGCCGGGAGCATCTCTCTGTTCAGCATCTTCCAGCCCGAGCTCTGTGAAGTGCTTCACAAAGGGAGTGAATCACAGGGCGAAGAGAAAAGGAAGATTTAAGGCCAGATTTAAAGAAGGAAGTGACTCAGCCCGCCGGGAGGGCTGGAGGGGAGAGCTCTAGACAGACAGGGCAGAAAGAGCAATTGCTTCTCTGCTCGGAAGGGCTGTGCCGAAGCGCCGCGGCCGACTGAGTCAGCCAGGGAGGAGTGCGTCCGGGGGGATGCTGATTACCAGCAGGGCAGCTCCCAGTTGGATCTGGCAGATGCTAAATAGTCAGTAAATACAACGGAGGATGGGGATAATTCTGTGGTTCAGAGCGGAGGGAAGCTTCTGGAGAGGAGAGGTGTAATTGGAAGAGCAACGCTCACCTTTACTCGCAGTGAATAAAAGCAGAGTAACCGCACTGAAGACGACAGCCACTGGCAGCTCCCTCTCGAATCTGCTGGGGGGAAGAGGTCCCGCCTGTCACTGCGGTTTTACTGGGTCCATGAACTCACCAGTCCCAGCCCCAGCTGCACCTGGGCAATAGCTTTGCAAAAGCACACGGATACGTCAATAAAGACAACGCATCTCCTCCTTCCAGGGGGGCCCATGGGAATGCGCTGACGGAAAGTCTGGGTATCAACCTCCCAGCGAGAAGGGGATCACCGCTCTTAACTCCAACCAGCATGATGAATGGGTCACACACGCGGACAACCCCATGGGAGGCTGCCTACACGGGCGAGGTGCTGCCAGCTCCCTGGGTCACCAACGGGGCACGAACCCTGTGGTGTGTAGACATGCTCATTATAAAGCCACCTTGCCACTGACTGGCTGGAAGCCTGTGAAAAACCTGACGTAAACTAAGGTCTAATTAGCTCAAGATGGGATACGTTGACATGAGAGATGCTTAAAAACTCTAAGACACAGAACAGAGATGGGACAAAGAGAAAAGAGACCTTAGGATTGATGCATCAAAGAAAGCAAGGCCATCAGACCAGTGGCTCGATGTGCTGCAGAGCTTCAGAGCTCCAACGCAGGACACAGCTCTCATTTGGCAGAGAGGAGGTTGGAGACCTTTGGCTTCTGTCGATAACATTAAATACTTAACAACGCAGGCCACCAAAAAGACCAAAAAATCTGAAGCATGTGCTCATTAAGAGTCGTGGCTAACAAACAGCAGGAAGCTTTCTCTCCGAGCCACGGGGAGGGGAGCCGCGAGCTATGACAGCAGAGCAAGCCCGCTTCCCACACCGCCCGCACGCAGCCGAGCTCGCAGGGCTGCGGCCCTGCGTCTGCTCCCCGCAGAGCCTCTGCTGGCTTTCCCAGCAAACCAAGCAGAAAGAGGCAGCGAAGGGGAGACGGAAAAGGGATGCTTTGTTACCTGCAGCTGGATGGCTGGGAAAAAAAATTGGCTTCTTTAAGCCAAATCCTACTCTTGGAGCAGGCTGAGCTGGACTGCCTGGGAAGTAACTGGGAACAACTGCAAGAGTCCACAACCTGGGGCACCAGCATTGCTCTGGCGGAGAGAAGGACATGTCCAGCCTGGTCAGCCTTCCCCTTCACAAAGTGCCCGTGCCAGGAAGCTCAGAAGCCGCCCTCGTCACTACGTCCAACCCTTTTAAGCACCAAGCTGCATAATTCTTCTCTGTTTATCCTACCACCCTACCAGCTGACTGTGACAGAACAGCTGTAAGAGCTCGCTGGAGCAGTTGCGGGCGGCGATATTAACACCGGAGGAGCAAACCGAAGTTTGTTTTCTTGCTGCAGCCTGGTGTTGGGAAACGTTGTGCCAGGATGTGCGAGGCTGAGATCTGGCGTCAGGCCAGCTTCCTCTCAGACATGGGCGTTCATTCACAGCCAAAGGGAGCCGATGCACATCATCTGCTGTGGGAGAGGGAAGAAAGCCTGGCATAGGATATAATAAAAATATTTACTTAGCCATGGGCTAGTTTACAGATAGGCAAGAGGGACCAGAGAACAACAGCGAATCTTCTGAGGGAGATGGTGCTTCCAGCAGAGAGTTGGTCCGTGAGCAAGCAACTTTGTTTTGTAGATACAAGCGGTCTCCTGACTTAAAAGCATTCTTCAGCAGAGATCTAAAGGAATTCCCCACTCCCGGTGAATGCGCTTGAACTGCGAGGGGAATTCATAAATCCTTTTGAAGCAAAGCTGAAGGTTTTCAAGTTGCTGGAGCAGAGATGACTAGCTGATTGATCTGAAAAGAGGTGAAGACCTGGGTGAGGAGCGCAGGGGTATTTTTTCCTGAATGTCCATCTGATGAAGGTCTGTGGCAGGACTCAGGAAAAGTTCCTCCAGACTTCAGCACACACCCTGAGAGTGCTTGCTCCACTCCAGCTTACCCAGCCTAGCTATTCTGTGATGTGGTCCTACCAGGGTACTGGACACAGCTGTGAAATACACAGCCAGTTTTCTCCAGTACCTGTGGAAAGTATGTGTCATCTTGGTGACTATGCTCCAAACTCTCAAGGGGGAAACTCAGGGCAGATTCAGCAGTTAGGCTAAGGTTTTGTTTTTTCTCTGGCCACACTTTGCTTCAGCTGCCTCTTCTTCATAGGCTCTCCCATTCCCACACCACATCTCTCTGGACTGCCAGTTCTCCTTGCTGGCCTGCAGATATGCCACCGCCTCCATGTGGCTGCCCTCTACAGCAGTAACAAGTTGGGCTGCTTTTCTTTGCCTCTGAAATCCCAAGCAGGACTTTGGGTTTTCCTTCTATTGCTGTCACCCTCAGCAGCTCAGCCCCATTTATGTCATTTTAACCTAAATGTGCCTGGCCCTCAAATTCCTCTACCACAAAGCCTCAAAAACAAAAGCTCACCATGTTAAGCAGAAAAAAATCACACTACTTCTTCTGGGCTCGGTGTCTGCCTGTTAATACACATCTCTCTGCACCCAAGTAGAGAAACCATGCTGCCCAGGTACCAGGGGCACTGGCAAAGGTGCCTTTTCTCTCCTTGGTCCTGAGGATGCTGGGGGGACCCAGCTCTGCTAAATGCAGAGCAGCAGAAGCGCTGCTTCCAGTCACCCATTGCACCCACGGTCCTCTGCAGCTGTTCCAGCAGTGGCAGAGTCTCAGGATACCTGAGCCCACTGGAGACTCATCCATGACCTTCCTTCCACAACACGCTGGGATACCCTTGAATTATTCCTCTGTTTATGCTCCCCTCTTCCCAGGAAGAGCCGATAAAGAGTGAATCAACAGAGAGGGCTTTTTGCAGAATTCCAGCCCTGAGCACTCAAACTCTGCGAGGCTTTCTTCGCCGCCTCTCTGACCCTTTTCCGTCCTCGCCTAGGTGTTTCCGCTACGGCCCTCTCGCATAATTCACTTTTGCCAGCTGCCTCAAAACTGATCAAATGCCACTTTAGGGGGTCACTCCTAGATGATTAAGCAGCATACATTTAATTAATATTAGTCAACAGTTGCAAAGGTAGGGAAGCTCCAGAGGTTGGAGATACAGTTAGAGGCAGTGAACTGCGTAACAAAATGGGTATTGTTAGTGCCGGGCTCAAGTCCTTCCACTGCAAATACAAACGGAAAAGAATTAATCACAGGTAAGGCACAAACGG